GGGAGGTTAAAAGGCGTTTTTAGGAGGGATTGGATGAGATTGTACGTAGTATTCCGCCTGCTGAGAGGTTATTTATAGGAGGGAATTTCAATGATCATATCGTATGACAAAGATAGATCTCAAGTTCGAGTTCATACCGGATCGTTCGACTACAGAAGCGATCCACCTTATTAGGAGGTTGGTGGAGCAGTACAGGGATACGAAGAAAGATTTGCACATGGCGTTTATTGACCTGGAGAAAGCGTATGACAAGGTCCCTAGAGAGGTTATTTGGAGATGTCTGGAGGCTAAAAGTGTACCGGTTGCCTACGTTAGGGCGATTAATGACATATATGATGGAGCTATGACTCGGTTTACGACAGTGGGAGGTGACTCGAAATATGGGATTACACCAAGGATCTGTGCTCAGCCCGTTCTTATTTGACTTGGTTATGGACGCACTGACACGCCTCATTCAAGGGGAGGTTCCATAGTATATGTTATTCGCTGATGACATAGTTCTGATCGATGAGACCTGAAGCGGCTTTAAGGAAAGGTTGGAGGTTTGGAGATAGGCCCTTGAGTCTAAGGGTTTCAAGTTGGGCAGGACTAAGACGGAATACCTAGAGTTCAAGTTTGGCGTGGAACCGAGGGATGCAAGCACAAAAGTGAGGCTTGAATCATAGGTCATCCCCAAGAGAGGTAGTTTCAAGTACCTTGGGTCGGTTATCCAGGAGAATGGGGAGATAGACGAGGATATCACACACCGTATTGGGGTGGGATGGATGAAATAGAGATTAGTATCTGGAGTGTTGTGTGACAAGAAAGTGTCTCTGTTACTTAAAGGTAAGTTTTGTAGAGTGGTAATTAGACTCGCCATGTTGTATGGGGCTGAGTGTTGGCCAGTTAAGCACTCACATACCCAAAAGATGTCAGTAGCAAAACTGAGTATGTTGAGGTAGATGTGCGGGCACACCAGGATGGATAAGATTATGAATGAAGAAATTCGGGAGAAGGTAGAGTGGCTCCTATGGATGACAAGATGCGAGAAGCAACGCTCAGATGGTTCGAGCTTGTATGGAGGAGAAACCCAAATGTCCCGGTAAGGAGGTGTGAGCGATTAGTTTTGGCGGGTACAAGAAGAGGTAGAGGACGGCCTATGAAGTATTGGGGAGAGGTGGTCAGACAGGACTTGACGTGGCTTCAGATTTTCGAGGACGTGGCCCTTGATAGGAAGGTGTGGAGGTCGAGCATTAGGGTTCTAGGTTAGGAGATAGTTGAACATTTTTCTACTCTGTACAAGTGTTAGGATAGTCTGATAGGGTTTTGTCTTAGACTGCTAGTGGTTAATGTTATGTTCACATTATTCTCCCGTTTTTCATTGTGTTGGGCCTTATCTAGTTGTTGTTGTTAGTGTTTTTCATCAATTCTCTGTTTCTTATGTTGCTGTCATTATTTCTTATGTTTTCTGTTGATAGTATTGATATATTGTCTCTCTTTTCATCTTCTTGAACCGAGGGTCTACCGGAAATAGCCTCTCTACCCCTTTGGGGTAGGAGTAAGGTCTGCGTACACTCCACCCTCTCCAAAGTCTGCGTACACTCTACCCTCTCCAAACCTCACTTGTGAGATTTTACTGGATTGTTGTTATTGTTGTAGAATTTGGATTGATGAGAGTCCGAAGAAAAAAATTCAGACTGCATGCCCAAAGTTTCACTTATTAAACATTGACTACATTATATAATAGAAAAGGACCTGATATACCCTTTGCTTTATTTTATTGTTCAACCATGTCCCACGTTATGCTTTCCGTCAGATTATGCATTGTCATCCATCGAAGTTCGATATTTATCCATATTTTAACGATCGGAATACGTGGCACATTCTGAAAGAATCACCTACCCAACTAAAAAATTAACCAAACCCGACGTATACCCTTGCTTCGCCCGATCCTATGCCTTTTTAACCTTATAAAAGTACCTCAGGTTTATGACAATTATAAAATCTCCTTCCGGGTTTAAGAGAGTTTTTGAAGTGAAGTGATTAGCAACTTCCTAATAACGGCACATCCCCTTCGATGAATAATTATTCTTCGATATCGATCCCTTTCCGACTAGCTGAGCATTAAGAAGGAAATGATGAAGAAACCGTAGACCAGATTAAAAGTGAGAAAGGTTTTTACAGTAGGTACAAAAATTTAATAAGGTTAAAAGGGTATAGAATCGGGTGGGGCAAAGGTATAAAGTCCGATTTGGTTAATTTCTTAGTTGACTAGGTTGATTCCTTCAGAATGTGCAACATATATTGGCCCTCGTGAAGAGGCGCACTCCGATACCATTGATGGTTAATATATAGAAAAATATAAAACTTAGACAGATGACAGGACTAGATCTTGAATCGAAAATATAAAAGAGGACATGATTGAACAATAAAACAAAATCAATAAATATATCAAGTCATTTTTTCGAAAATAAAAAAGAATAGATTGTAGATACAAAATCCTGATTCTTAAAGAGAGAATCATACATAAATACAGCTCCCACACATATGTTGTAATTAGGTAGCCTATATTTAAATTCGCGAAGTTGTAGCCCAAAAATAATAGGCAAAGATTCAACATTCAATTTCAAATGATTCTCAAAATCGCTATTCATTTTTTTTAAAAGCTCAAGATTCTAACCTAGTCTATGAATCATTAACTATGCTCAAATATTAGTTCAACAAATTAAATCCATTTGGGTGGTGAAAATTAAAATTTTAAGGTAATTCGCCTTTGTTCAACGAGCTTAAATAAGTGGATTTAATTTTCAAATATGATTTTGTTAGAAATTTGGAGTGGATGTTGTTTAAACTTGTTAGAAATAATTTATGGAACTTGATTACAAAAATGGAAGTCATTTAATAGAGATTTGAACTGGTTTTAAACAAGAATTGCATCTAAAATTATAGAAGAAGGTCGTTTACATATTCTTATACACTTTTATACAATGTTATACACTTTTACACAAGGTAGAACATTATATATATAGGTGTATAAAAGTGTATAATAGTATATAAGAGGTGTTGATACACACATATACTATTACACAATCTTATACACGCTATTATCTAATCTGGCTTGTCTTCTTCATTGAGCACCTTTTTGAAATATAAAATAGGATAAACCAGGTAAGAATGTAAAATGTTGGCCATTTTTAGTAGCATTATTATCCCAACTTTTAGAGAGTGATTTTTCTTGTTTTTTGGTTTTAGTTGATTTTTAAAATTTCACTTAAAATACAAATTTAATTTATCTAACTCATATTTCGGATACACCCCCTGCATTTTTTAAATCAAACATTTCCCCCCTCCCCCTCTATATTATGAAAATCCTATATGCAGAGGTATATTTATAACTAAGTACAATAAAATATAATTATTAAAAGAAATAAAATTATAAATAAAAACCTTTTCCGATTTTTTTTGTTTGTTTATTTGTTCTTCTGCTTCAAAATTATCTTAAATCACTTTTAATTTGTTTCATTATATATGAGTTTAAATGTTGAAAATAAGGATGTCAATATTATATTTAAGAGTTTCGAAAAATAAAAATATTTGCTAAATACGTAAAAATTCAAGTCACCTTATTAAGTAATTTGTGTTCAGTTCTTATTTAATAGTTTCAAAAGACACGTATTTAAAAAATATCTATTCTCTTTTTAATCTAAAGTGTCAATAAAGATTTTCAACAAAAATATTTGCGATCTTTTTAAATTTCATAATAATAATTTAAAAACTTTTTATTTATAGTTTTAATTTGTCTTATAAAATTTATATTTTTATATATGTTACACCTCACAGGGTGTAAGTGTAAGATTTCTATAGTATAAGGGGTGTAAGTATTTAAGTTTAAAATACAATTGGTGTTTAGTATAAGTTATAATAGCACGGTCTAGCCAGTTTTTGGACTGGTCATTTAAAAATAGTCAGCGTTTATCAAGTCAATGAAAAATAATCACTATTTTGCTGCAACAGAGACCGGTCCAGCATAATATACTGGAGTTCAGTGCACCTGTGTATGAACTTCCAGCATATTATGCTGGACCGGTATACTTTGCTGGCTCCAGTATATTATGTTGGGCCAGTATATTATGCTGAAACTCCAGTCTAATACTGGAGTATTTTTTTCGGATTTGAACAGTATTTTCGTTCAGACTTATCTTTACATGAAAAGTGGCTAAATTTTGATTACTTTTGAAACTGTGGTTATTTTTGAATGACCACTTTTAAATCTGGCTATTTTTGAATTTCTCCCTTAGTATAATTAACCCTTTGATTTATATATTTGGCAAGAATTAAACAAATAGTTGAACCTATATCTTTGCATTTATCTATATCTGAGAGGTAGTTTCACTGCAAGACTGAGACACTACAATTATTTCACTTTATAAATCAAGTAACAACATCTTATTATTATTTTTTGGTTTAAACTTAACTAACATTAATGATTAAAATAATGAATAAATCACTCCAAAATAACTCCAATGAAAAAGAATACAAAACTCAACTAAGCATCATTAATATGTGTAGACAACTTTACTGGCTAAGATAAACTATTTTTTTTAAATAAACAAATATTTTGCTAGCTTCTTTAGTATCAAACCAAATCAAATATGTAGCTTTTATTTTAAAATTTAAAAAAACAAACCAAATCAAGTATATTTAGTTTTTTACGTGAACTTGATTTGATCTTAAACACCCCCAGTCTAAAGCCAAACATTACTCAAATTTTTCCATTAGTTACTCATTAAACAATAAATTTCTATGTAAATTTAATCAATCATAAATTTAATCAAGACTTATACATGAATTTTCTATGTTCAAGTAATGTGAACTTGTAAATAAGCATAAACATATGGAAATTTCCAATTTAACTTCTAATAAGTTACAAACAGAAAAGAATATTGTTAATAGGGAGGCGCCATTTTATAAGTTATTGGGAATAACAAATATTCAGTTAATTGGCAATAACACTTGAATAATTACTGAGTTATGCTAAAAACATTGATTCACCAACTTATCCAATCCCAGAATTTGAATGTACCTATACGAATTCTCCTTTTAGGAGATCTACAAACAACAAACCTCATGGTATTTCAAGGGGAAAAAATCTGATCTCTATCAAAATCATTTTGTACAGATTCTGTTGACACCTCGATCAATTTAAGATCTAGATTCAACGAAAACCTTACTACATCATTGACCTATCAAAAAAATTTCAGCAAAAAGAATGGCGCCTACAAAGTTTTACAGCGGCAATTATTCACTATGATACAACTAAATAACAATAAGACAAGCCAACAAAAGCATAAAGGGGAAAATGCACAAAATGCGCTCGCAAAACTCAGTAATCTGCTCTTCTACTATTGACAAGGTCACCAGTGATATCATCCTCTTCATTTTCGCATTGTTGCAGAAGTTCCCTGTAAGACTCATTATAAGCAGTAGCCAATTGCAGATGCTTAATTGCATCGTTCTTGCGACCAACATTGACCAACGCACTGTAAAAACATCATGTACCAGTTTAATCAATTGTGGAATTGGAATAAACACGAGGTCTTTTAGAACTGGCTTTTCTAGGTGGAACTAATTGGAGATGATAAACCATGTGTCAAGAATTAAAGGAAAACCTTTACCTTGACAGCAGTACTAATCCGTCATAGTAATGAGCCTTGCTCTTTGGGTCCTCTGGCTCTTTTATACTAGCTATTCGTTCCAGGTGTACAAGTCCCTCTCCCATCTTACCCTGTAAGAAAAAAAGAAAGGTGCAATATCACACTGAGAAACCTACTCCCATGACGTCTTCATAAACAAGCTGTGCTGGTCACATTATCCAAGAGCTCGGGCTTGGCTCAAGAAAGAGAAGCCTTGAGACAGATCTGACTATGACTATAAGCCCCAAAATATGGCAAGCCAAGCTCAAAACAACATAATAAAATAGAAGTTGGGTTTACATAGTGGTGAGAGAGCAATACAGTCATCAAATGTAGAGGAAACAAAAATCTGTCTACAATCCTTATATAAAGATTCCGAAAAAAGAGAAGAAAATACAAAAGATTGACGACTACATTGAGCACCATTCTGGAGGTATCAGCATTCTTATACCTGACATCCACACTAACTCCAGGCACTGAGCAATCAGCAGACAACCTATCCGCCTTCATATTATTTGTTTCATTTAATCTCAATTCGAGTCCAAAGAGTGGAATGAGGAAAAGAAAGAGCAAGGTTATAGCTAGTTTTGATGGCAAAGAACAGTAAACCTGGGGTTTCTTTCAATGAAGGACAAGGCAGAGATACAGAGAGGGGTAATCAGTTTGTTCAGAACATTGAAGGGAGAGGGGGGAGAGCAGCTAGGAATTGGGGTAAGTCGGGTTGATTCTTCACTGTCATTATATAGGAGAGCAGCAATCAGCAGGCCATAGGGGCAGTTTAGAGTTTTCAAGAATAAAACATATTGTAAGAAAGGAAGCTGAGTGATTGAATCATTAGTGTTATTTAGATTTATATGGACATTAAATTCAAAGAAAGATAATTGACACAAACAAGCTAAATATTCTTCGAACATACTGCAGATGAAACAGACACGAATTTCACAAAACACTTGAATAGGAAAGAGAACTAAGATAAAAATTCTAGCATATCCAGGGCCAGGAAAAAAAAAAAAGGAAAAACGGAAATCTTGTATTAGGAGCCTTCTCTAGGCTGAAAATATATTTGAAAATTATCCCACAATAGAGTTTCAATAACTCAACCCACTAAAAGCAGAAAAAAGGAAAACATCCCCTACATACATGGTTTCTCTATCGCCACCACTCTGCCATGTCACAGGGAATCATGTAAATAGTGCAAGGTACTCAATTATCTGTACTAGAATTCTTTTAATTAAACTACTTATAATAAAAAAGAATTCTTATTGTCATGTCAAGCCTATTAGGTCAACCATCAAGCCAATTTCTTAAAAAACCATTACCTGCCGTATACAGGCAACACCTGCCCATTGGGATGATAGAATCAGGAGATCAACATCCTCAATGTCCATCGGATTCTCCTTTAGCTGAAGCTGAACTTGCAGAAATAGACTATGGTTAGCAACAAATCAAGTTTGCTGGATTCTAGCAGCCAGATCAAGGTCTGCTGTAGAGGATACTGCATACTACATAAACTTTAGAAGGTTACCAGATATAGAAAAACAGATCATGACTTTTAACAGAATTTAGTCACCATTTCATGAAAAATTCTTAGTCCACAAAAGCAAACTGAAGTTTCTCCACTCAAAAAGATCAGTAAACTCAAATTGAAATGCAGGATGTCAGACTCGAACCTTAGCAATAGCACGTTCCAAGTATTCAGTAGCTTCTGGTAAGGAACCATCTTGCAAAAGTGACTGGCCAATAACAAGCAAAGCTCGAACATACTCGGGATCCTTTGCAAGAGCAAGTCTGTAAGACATACATTAAAATGGGAGATACTACAGTGAAGAAAGAAAATAAATGAGCAGGTGAGGATTGCTTTTATTTAGTGAGAGACCTACCGAAGAAAGGGCATAGCTTCATCTTTACGTCCTCCTGCTAAGAATTTGATTGAAAGCTGATGAAGTTTCAACAGCAAAAAATTTAGACAGCAGCAAGAACTATTCAACATTTCAAGTCAATAACTGGAAAAGAAAATAGTTACTAACATTAACCAATTCATGAGGTGATAGGTTCTGGACAGATACTTTCCGCTGCTTTTTTGATGGTTCTATTTTGATTTCTTCAGGATTACCTAACTCTTTCTGATGTGCAGTCACTGACTGAGGATCCATATGAGGTAGGCCCAGTTTCTTGCGAACATCTGGATGCTTTAGTGATAGTTGCTGCCCATAAAAAGGTAATGAGTTCACCACATTCATTGATTTTCATGAAGATGTGGAAAGTGCAATCTTAAGAAGCGCATTTTCAATGGCAACAAGTGGACCAGGAAAAGAATACAAACTTAAAAGACAACTGTTATGTACGATCTGCTAGACAGCACTGTTAGAGGGAGCAAAAGCGAGAAAACAAGGAGCTCATAGACATTTTCCAAGGGAAGCTTGAAGAAAGTTACGATCTTCATTATCTAGCAGTTTATCTATCATGCTTTCTTTCCACGTATCCAGGAAAAGTAAAGGATAAGAAGTCCCAGCACTCCACATGGATCATGCAAGTTCGAAACTAATGCCTTTTGTGCAAGAAAAGCTCTTGGAGTCCAAGCATAAGAAGTTACAAAACCTTAAAGATAACTGAGAACATTTGCATTTATCTGCATGCCCAGTCACCAAGGAAATCATTCAGGGAAGGATACTTCAGAAGAAATACCTGAACAACAGTCATCGAACTATTGGTAAGCCAATAGACTGAACTCCCCTGAAAAATAGACAAATGAAAGAAACTTCATTTCATGCACATGATCCTTTATCAGGCATATCAAGATAGAAGAGCAAATGAATGAGTCAAAAAGGTAATGAAACTTGTTTCACCTTTGCAACACCCTCTCCAACTCAACACCACAATTAAAAAAAATAGAAGAGCAAACGTAAGGGACTCAACAACACTAATATCTATTTTTAAGTGATCAGTCCACCCACAGCTGCCATTCTTTCGCATAAGTCTCCAGTATCACATAGAGAAACTAAATCAAGTTGCTCTCTCCATCACCCAAAACTCCATACGGGCTTCCCCTTCTGTAAGATATTATATTGTACTATTGAGGAGTCGTCAGGTCATTTACTCATTTGGCAGCTCATCATCTCCCACAACATCAGCTTTCACCAATTCCAAATGACCATTAGATGTGCCGCTTGTTCGCCACAATGTCAGTTGCATTAATTGCATCTCTATTCCTAGTACAGTCCATCTCCGAAGGTATTAAACAGAGAACAATGATTTGCAAGAGAAACTAAACCTATCAACAAAAACATTAATCCATAAAATACTCTGTTCTACCCAACTATGATATGGTTCAGCCTGTCCCAACAAAGAAAACCTTAGGAGACATCTCCAAACTAGACATGATGCAGGCTACCAAGAACATCCCGACAATTCCAACTCAAAGCTCTGACACGATGAGTTACTCCTTACCATCAATAAGTTGTTAAAACACAGGTAGAGATATTCAGGTTCAAAGCAGAAATATCAGTATATTTACAATATGATAAGCCCCTTTTGCCCTATATGGAGGAAATATTTCTATGATCAGAGGGGGTCACGAAGAATGGAGGCAAAAGTCAAACTGTACCTCCATTAACAACCTCTTAGGAAAACAATGATTTCAGCTATTGCAAAGATCAATAAATCAACTTGACCCAAAAAAAGATTCTAGGGGAAAACAAACCAAACAGTTCAAAATCAAAATAAGATTCCTTCTTCCCTCAATTTAAAATTGGGCCATAAAGCTAAACGTAATAAAAGAAAATCATCAGATGCCAGGTTCATATTTTACTGCAAATGAATGAAATGAAAGTAGACAAATCTTATGGCACATCAAATTTTAGAATCAAACGGTTGATTACCTGGGGAATATTGAATGCAATAAACAATAAGGGTAAGGTCAGGACTTCCAAGTACTTCTTGTAGTACTGCAACAAGAAATGCAGTTGTAAGACTTACTTCTCAAAGTTATAATCAATAAAACCAAAAAACATCACAAGCCTTGAGCTAAAGTATTTTCAAAAGTTTAACTTTGCTTCTAATTTTACTGCAGCTGCAAGACGCTGCAGCTACCACAAAACAGCTTAAATCTATCAAAAGCCTTCAGCAATACTTGTTACAGCAAAAAAGATGCTAAACCCTGAAAGTTTGTCTGCCTAGCAGAACTTTTAGACAAATCAATAACCTTAAAATTTAATAAGATTTAATGGTGAATCATATAGCTATAGGACCTCTAAGATTTTATGGGGACCTATATAGCCATAGGGCCTACATGACTACATAGAATAAGAGAACCATTGGTCACAACATTCCAGTTGCTGGGATTGCTATAGCTTGTGAAATGTGAGGTTGCAGTTTCGATCCCCACTCCAAACAACTTTGTTGTACCCCGGCTCTTTTCAGATCTTTATTTTATCCAAGAATAATAAAACGCCATTGTATACCCATGATGGCCCCGCTTTATTTGGGGCACAATTATTTATTGTGGCAACAATCTCTTCGTCTGCGAACGCTCACTCCAGCCATTCTTTTTCTTCATTAGGGATGATATCGATGTCATCCAGTTTCAGAGAAGATCTCCATGTAACATCCTCTGAGTATAGATGTGTTCAAATATTCATTTTTTATCACCTCGGGATTATAAATCGACTCCCCTCTTGACAGCAAGTTGTCAATCCAAGTGCATCTTTTATGTGATGTTGCCATTATATGGAAAAATTGAGTTTCTGTCTCCATCTTTTAACCAACATCTTGATTTTTGCCTCCAAGAGATTACCTCTGGTTTTGCCAGATTCTCTAGCTCCTCCATTAGCTCCATCCTTTTGTTGTTTCATCTTATGAAAGGGTTCTTTTTTCTGCCTGCTGATCAAGGGTTTGTAACTCTTCCCAAATTAAAGTTTTATCATCTACCGGACTACGAAATTCTTCCTTGTTTCATTTTTTAGGATTTGTTTTCAGCATTTTAAGTGCTCTGCATCAATATGATACCAAGGGTTCCTTGAATTGCATAGTTGTTCCACCAATTTTTAACTTTATCCAAAAATCTACCGCTCTTGAGCCACATATTCTCAAATTTGAAGTAGCTTAGACTAGGAGTCCATTCACCACTTCCCAAGAGAAAAGGATTATGATCAGAGAAGGCCTTAGGAATTTCCCATAGCCCTGCTTGTTCTGTTGTACCAATCTTTTCTTTGGTGAATCTGGTAGTGTTAAAAACCCTCCCAATAACTCAAGGAATTTCCCAAATTAGTCTAATTGCAGCAAGCTTCAGCCACATACTTTCTCTTTCGTCAGGTCCATAGATTCCTGTAAATGTTCCAGTGAACTCTCCTTTGATATGTTTTCAAGCACACATGAAATTTTATAGCTCCGTGCCAACTTATCCTTACTTTGCCAAACTCTTTATCTGCCCAATCAGCCCATTTGTTCCCCGAACGTGCATCGACTTTTGTACAGTCCACTCTTCTACTTTTGTTTCTTGGAAGCACGTAAAATCAGCCCCCATTGTTTTGCTAGAATTTTCAATGTTTTGAATTTTCCTGGATCCCCTAATTCCTCACATTCTAGCTAAAGAATTTTGATCTTCATTTACGGAGAACTTTTCTTTCTCCACTTTCCCCCTTCCAAAGATTCTTCAAAATTTACCTTAAATTCCAGGTTTTTAAGTTCATTCTTACCCTTTTGTGCTTTGGCCTTCTCCTTTTTGACTGAGACCTGTTGATCTGAAAGTGATTTCCTTTGCTTTTATATTCAAGAAGAGCTCCAGCAACTCTGTCTCAAAGCCCCTAGATTTGACCTCCAATTGCATGCCGACTCTGAGCATACTTTTTTAGTCATAGTTATGTTTCAACCACTTTAAAGATGAGTTTCTGGTTCTGCATGTCGTTTGCATGATCATACCAAGGGAGAAGTAATTTGTCGTCCCCTGCCTGCAATGAGTAGTTCTCCTCCGTATCTCCTTCAGACTGCAAAGAGAGTCCAATATCTGAAGTGGTTACCGAAAGGAGAAATCTTTTCCCTTCCCGACTCGCTTGAGTATGGTTTGGAGTACTATTCCATGAGGTAACCATCATCGCCATTGGAGGCTGTGCCTAGACTTCACTTCGAGCTGTTCTTGGTATCTTGATGGGAATCAGAGATGGACCCTTGATGGGCTTGAATATCTACCAAGAGAGGGTCCCTAGATGATAGGTTAAATGATGAGCAGTGGGCCTTTCTCAGGGTTCAAGGGGGTCTGAAGGTTTCCCTAAATGATGAGCAGTGGGCCTAGATGATAGATTGAACTGCTTCTATACGATGGGCCTTTTTAATAAAATGAATGGTCCGGAAGTGTTGAACCTAGGGGGCTAGCTGGCTCCCCTCTGATTTCCAATCTTCAAAAATTCAAATTGGATCCCCAAGATTTCAAATGTCTCATAGTAACCATGTGCCACATCGAGTTCTCTGATTTTCCCCTTTACTTGCTCATTGTGCTTGAAGTTTAATACATCTTCGGACCAACCTCATTCAGAACGCCTGTCACGTCTGCAAGTATCCTAAAATTTTCAGCGAGGTTGTTCTCTTATTAAGATGGCAAACTTTTTCCGCCCACAACCAGATCAATCTTTTCCGGCACTGGTTGTGTCGTCAGTCTCATTGCAAGTCAAGCTTCACCTAAGAAAGCTCATCTTTTCGTAGTATCATCTATTCCAATCAGTCCCCCCATGTGTCTTCAATGCATACAAACACCTCTTCCGACCAGACAACCGGAGTTTATAGGGTTGTACCTCCAGAATAAAACAGATTTGTAGTACCCAGAAGATCAGCCTTGAGTTTGATACCCCAAGACGACCTTATACCAAATACTTTTAAGATTAACAAAAACATTGCACCAAGATGGACAATAAAGCGACTAAAGTGGCATCTATACAATGGTGGAAAGTGATTATAGTACAAGCATAATAATGTGAGAACTCAAACTACAAAAATACTAAAACACCATATCATTTAGACTTCTTTCTTCTTCTTCTTTTTTTTTTTTTAAAAAAAATCAAGCCAAATCACTTGGACTTCTATTAGGAACAAGGATAAATAGATATTCAAACAAAATGTCATGCAATCATTTCATCCCAAAAAGGATGACGATGCTACTGTTTGAAGAATTGAGCAGTTCTTCTGAGTGCGATTCAAACTTTTTTAAAAAGATTTATAGGAAAATGTAATTTGTAATATTTAATATTATGTGTAGATATTTAAATTATATTTCGGATTAATTTGGAAATCGATATCTGAATGCACTTCAAAAATTATATGCTTCGATCCTCATGCTCTGAAACTAGGTATTCCTTTTGGAACGAAGGGAGAATCTTTTAGCTTGTCTCCAATTCATAGGATAAGACTCTTGGAATAAGATAACCGAAAATTAAAGATATACTTCTACAATGGAGTTTGAATAGAGATTGTCTGTAATTATACAGCACAACGAAGAAAACCACAATTCATAAATTTCTCTTTCTAACAATAAGAACCTTTTTACTAAAGCAGATGTCACATAAATTTCTAGACAGATTACTGACCTCGGCTAATAATCCCAGGAATCCACCCATATTTCCAACTGAAGATTTCTGAAAGGATACCTGAAGAGTAATATGAAGAGAAGATATCAGCTCAAAAAGCATGGAGACAGAATACCTGCTGGATTATCACTACCATAAGAAACTAGACCAAGCTCACTGCATAATAAAATACAATGTGTTGCCTTTAAAAAGAATAAATTTTGAGTAAGCGTTTTTGCAAACTTTTCTCCTTTTTATTCCCTTTTCTTTTTCAAGACAAAAGTTTGTAAAAGTTATTTGGTGCATAAGGGAAGGAGAAATTTTAGGGAAAACCCTCTTTTTAAATGTAACCACAAGAAACACTAAATGGTGTTTTTCTTTCTTATTTATATTTTTTTATTAGGAGTAGATAACACTATTATAAGACCATATCATGCTTTTCAAAATTCAAAAACATAGGAGCTACTTTCTAATTAAGTCTAGTCTCCTGCTCAAATCCCATCATCTACAACTCAGCCAACTACTTACAGTCTTCTTCCCACTTTCCTCATATATCTTTTTGGTATTATCTGTATTTCTCATTAACAACCCCCCCCCCCCCCCCCCAAAAAAAAAAAACAAATATGGTGATTTTTTTTTATAAGTAAAGGCTTTTATTAAAAGAAAGTACCAGATGGTACAGAAATCAGTACAAACTTTGAAACTACAACAGATTCCCCATCATGCTACATATTTCCCCCCAAGAAATACAAAAAATCCAAATAATGATCCATCGTATCTAGAGTTTTACTAAAACACCAGAAAAATAAATTCTTGATACATTTGTTTTTAACTCTAGCAATCTGCACCCTCTTCCCTTCAAAGCATGCCTTGTTTCTTTCCAGCCATAAAGTCCACACGATACATTCTAATATATAGAAGAGCCTTGGAAGCAGCTGGCCGTTGTCTTGCCAGCTTGCCGACCAATGCTCTTTTTGGTCATTTCATATTTAGCTTTTATAATTGTTTGATCATTTAAAGTGGCTCTAAGTTTTGATTGGTTCAAATAACTTGATTATTGTGCTAATTTATTAATTTTGGTTCATAGACATTTTAGCCCTTTGAGGGAGCCGTATATCTTTTCGAGTGGGTCCATCTCTCATTACAAATTGCGGCTGGAAAATCCATTACCATGCCTGGTAACTTTTTATATATAACTCGCCCAATTCTATGAATGCCTGTGGGGAGACAAATTTTTGGTTTAAATATATTCATGATTACTTCTAAACTCTAAAGCTCAGAGCTGCCACTATCAAACTGTTTAGAAATTTTCAAGGACTAACTTTATATATATAAGCTATAATAGATATTATGGTAATTTAATTTTATAAATTCCTTCTAAATTAATTTTGTAGATCACATACTAAAATTATTTATGTGGTAATTGATTTTTTACTTGAAATTATAATGCCCAAAAAGTTACAGATGTCAACTTATTTCAACAAAGACTTTCTTTTAAAAATCAAATCATTTTACTGGAAAATATTTATCAAATCATCTTCTAATACCTTTTATTATGGTTAACTTTGGTAATTTCAGTTCTAAAAACTCTTAATATGGTGACTGTATCAAACATTATTTGGGTTGGTAAAATACGTGCACAATGTTTTGTTAAATAGTTTGATAAATTCAAGTTGAAGAAAAATATTTTGCAGAAGACATTTTATTTTTGCGTCATATTTTTGTTTAATTGTCTATTATAAAGTTAGATTTCATTTTAAGGTCTTTTTATCTGTTAAAAATTTTCTCATAAGGTTTTCAAATAGATATGTAAGTGATCTCTATAAAATAGATAAGATTTTTATTGTTTACTTCGCAATTACTAACCTGTATTAACTAAGAGTGTACTTTCTAAATAATCCGAATGAAAATGAGATAAATGGAGCACACAAAAAGGTATTAATCGTTCATAGTTCTAAGGTTGAAACTTTTTAAATATCTATCAAGCAACAAACTGAAATAACAAAATTTATTAAAACATCATAATAAAATTAGGTATCTAAAACAAAAGAAAGGTAGAACCAAGAATGAGCAAAAAAAATTCACATTATTAATTCAAGCATTTTACTTTTTTTGAGAAATTTTTGTTTAAAAAAAATAGAATTAGTTGCCTTTGAAAGACGTGTTTATTTCCTCACTTTCATGTATCTTATCTTAATGTTCTAAAAGTTGACAATAGAAATACATATATGTTCCTATTATTATTAATAATTATTCACCGTGGTTTAAGGTTTACCTAGAAGTTAGTAGCTAGCCAGGGCTGAAGTTCTTGCAATTCATTTCCTGAACCTCATTCGGAAGCGATCACGTACCCCCCTTGGTATCAGAGCCATGTTAGTAATAACCTTTAGAAGCTAAGTTTAACACTATTTTCTTAATGAATATCATTAGGAAGAAGACTATTGTTAAAAACAGTAGAAAAGAGGAATATGAATTGCCCCAGCAATTAGACCTGCTTAATAAGTGGACTATGCCATTAGTCAAGCCTAAAGTAATATATCAGTTAGGTACTTTTGAAAGGATAGGTTTAAAACAAGTAGTTAAAACAAAACTACTGAAGAGACTATCACTGTAGATAGTGACCATGCTACGTTCAGATTATTATCTTAAAGTGATTTAACCCCTTATAGGGATTCACATAGATTTATACATATAGGCTTAATACAAGTCGCCTTTAAGCCACTTACTTTAAGAGGCTTACCTGAATGCTTTATGGCAGCTCTCAGAGATGGTAGAAACCAGAATTGAAAAAAGTCTCTAATAGGGACTATGCAAACCAGTTTGGCCTATGGCCCTGTTTATTTTAATGCTTATTCCAATTTGCAAATTTCTCTGAATGATGAGAATTCTTCAAATGCTTTAATACTTAGCATTAAATTACATGGTTATGATTATTTACCTGGTACAGAAGTTATATGTATCTGTTATTGGATTTATTACAAACCTTTATATACTTTAAATCCGATGTGCAAAATTATGGATTTCAAAAATGAAACTATTCTTATAGAAACCAACTTTGGCAAGTCCAAGGTAACCACCAGAAGACCTATGAAATGGGATGAAATTGATTTCCCTAAAAATGGGTCATAGAGGAAGCAGTTGCCCCTCGAAACACGGGTAATACTGAGGTTACAGAAATAGAACAAACCTCAGATGGTACTGTTAAAATCAGGTTCAATGAACCCGTACAAACTGATAATATCAATTTATCATCTAGATTAACTAGATCAAATTCTTCTTATATCTCTCCAATTGATTATGTGGTAGATNATTAGCATCACAAGTGATAATACAGTCAAGGTCAATACAAATCTTGAACCAACTGAATCCGAAATGGATTTTTCAAATGGTGTTAATAATGGTTGAAAACCAGATAGATTTTAGTCCGGGTTCACCGGCGAGAAAAATGATTTTAGAAGAATTTCTAAAACCCAGATGGGCTGTTTTCAGAAAATGGTTTCATGAAAACATGACTAGTGAATTAATACAATTTTTTAGAGATGATTTTTACGAGGATAAAAAAATAAGATTATTGTTTTTGTTCCTTGGTTTATGTCTAAACATGTTTATAACTATGTTTGGTGTCAGAAAGAGATTATACGCTCACTAATGAAAATATTGTTAATTCTATTTTTCCACCACAACAATCTTTCCACATAGGGTAAAAAGATAAAATGATAAATTGATATTATCAGTTTGTACGGGTTCATTGAACCTGATTTTAACAGTACCATTTGAGGTTTGTTCTATTTCTGTAACCTCAGTATTACCAGTGTTTCGAGGGGCAACTGCTTCCTCTATGACCCATTCTTTAGGGAAATCAATTTCATCCCATTTCATAGGTCTTCTGGTGGTTCCCTTGGACTTGCCAAAGTTGGTTTCTATAAGAATAGTTTCATTTTTGAAATCCATAATTTTGCACATCGGATTCAAAGTATATAAAAGTTTGTAATAAATCCAATAACAGATACATATAACTTCTATACTAGGTAAATAATCATAACCATGTAATTTAATGCTAAGTATTAAAGCATTTAAAGAATTCTCATCATTCAGAGAAATTTGCAAATTGGGATAAGCATTAAAATAAACAGGGCCATAGGCCAAACTGGTTTGCACAGTCCCTATTAGAGACTTTTTCCAATTCTGGTTTCTGCCATCTCTGAGAGCTGCTATAAAGCTTTCAGGTAAGCCTCTTAAAGTAAGTGGCTTAAAGGCGACTTGTATTAAGCCTATATGTATAAATCTATGTGAATCCCTATAAGGGGCTAAATCACTTTCAGATAATAATCTGAACGTAGCATGGTCACTATCTACAGTGATAGTCTCTTCAGTAGTTTTAACTACTTGTTTTAAACCTATCCTTTCAAAAGTACCTAACTGATATATTACTTTAGGCTTGACTAATGGCATAGTCCACTTATTAAGCAGGTCTAATTGCTGGGGCAATTCATATTCCTCTTTTCTACTGTTTTTAACAGTAGTCTTCTTCCTAATGATATTCATTAAGAAAATAGTGTTAAACTTAGCTTCTAAAGGTTATTACTAACATGGATCTGATACCAAGGGGGGTACGGGATCGCTTCCGAATGAGGTTCAGGAAATGAATTACAAGAACTTCAGCCCTGGCTAGCTACTAACTTCTAGGTAAACCTTAAACCACGGTGTTCCTCACAACCCTTCAACTGTCACCTGCCTAAACGGGTCCAACCAAACACCACCGGTTAGGTTGGCCTAACCGAGGTTTACTGTCGAAATTGGTAACTGCCTAGTCTATACAGTTCTTAACCCATAACCTCATCGGGGTGACACAGTAAACACCTAGCTACAAAAACATGCTTAGTAAAAAACCTTCGAATACTAAGTTTAGAAAAAGCTTTAGAAAACGCACTGACTTCTCTCGCGTTTCTCTCTCTTGTAAAAAACCCTCTCCCTTGTAATATTTCGAATTCTGACATAAAATCAAAAGGTCCCTCTCTCTTCAATATTTGCAGTACTATTAGCCTAAATGATAGGCTAAACAGGTTAGTGTTAAACTTAGTATTCGAAGGTTTTTTACTAAACATGTTTTTGTAGCTAGGAGTTTACTATGTCACCCCGATGAGGTTATGGGTTGAGAACTGTATAGACCAGGCAGTTACCAATTTCGACAGTAAACCTTGGTTAGGCCAACCTAAGCAGTGGTGTTCGGTTGAACCCGTTTAGGCAGGTGGCCGTTGAAGAGTTGTGAGGAACATCGGGGCCTAAGGTTTACCTAGAAGTTAGTAGCTAGCCAGGGCTGAAGTCCTTGTAATTCATTTCCTGAACCTCATTCGGAAGCGATCCTGTACCCCCTTGGTATCAGAGCCAGGTTTTTTTTATTATTATTATTATTCCTGTAGGACTAAAAAGATAAAACATTTAGTTGGGTGAATTGAATTTAAATTAAAGTACAACAACAAATTATAACAAAAAACAAATTAACAAGTAGAAAACAAACTTTGTCAGAGTTCAGATTGTTGGGCCCGTGCGTAAGCCCGAGCAACGTAATCTAGTATGGGAATAGTCCTCCAAGTCTGTTTCAAGTTTCTCTTTATTTTCTAAGCTTGCCATATTTCCAGCAAATCAGATTATTCATCCTATTAAACCTCTGAAAACACACTGTCATTTCCATGGCTCAACCTTCTCAATTCTTTCTAACCCACCACCGCAATGAATGCAAGCATTATCAGATAAATCTCTTCCATTGCACTATTTGTTGGGAATATAGACCACATAAATAATATTCACGGTAACAAAGAAATGACAACGTGGCATCGAGATACGATAATCAACAAGAATATAATAAAAAAAAAGTAACAAGGACACTAAGATTTTTACATGAAAAACCCTAAGGAAAAAACCACGACCCCGAGAAGAGCAACTAATATTACTATACTAAAGAATTTTTACACTTTGAATGTCTTGTGTAAAATACTCCAAATACCACTACACACTCAAAAGAAATAACCCTCTTTTGATTTTCCACCTCACTACTATATCACTTGCACTCTCTATATTTCCTCACATAATATTTTACTTCTCACTCTGTGAATTGCTCACTTATTCCCTATATTACTTTTCGTTCAGTGTGTTTGGTGTGTCGCCAATACAGAAGAACTTTTGTATTTATAAAGGTGGAGAATAACATGCCAATGTCATCAATGACATGGGCATGATAGCAATGTCACCAATTGCGATGTGAAGAGATCATTGGTCGGTTGGCCAAATCTGTATACATTTGAAATTCATACCAAAGGAAGAAAACATCTTCCTTAAAACATGGGTTGGACGCACAAATCTCCCGTTTCCAGTATATGCATCTGAATGAGGTATTTCCAATTTCTTACATAGAGCTCATGCCAACAAGTTTTTGCACAGCTCGAACTTGTCTCGCAGTATCACCTTAACATATCTGCATGATTTTCACTCTTGTGAATCTTCTTGACCTACAATGACTCGTTCTCCACTTTATCACAAATCCAATAATATCTCACATCGATGTGCTTTTTTCTTGAATGGTATATGGAGTTCTTGCTCAAATCTATTGCACTTTCAATGTTACAATAGATGACACACTCCTCTTGATGCAATCCAAGCTCTTGAAGGAACTGTTATAGCCATATCATCTCCTTGCCAGTTGCAATAGCAGCAATATACTCTGCTTCAGTTGTAGAGCGCGCTACACTTCTGGAACTTCGACTGTCATGATATAGCTCCACCTAAAAAGTGAACATGTATCCAGTAGTAAATTTTCAATTATCAAGATCACCTGTCATATCATTGCCCTTCAAGACTAGACAGACCTTCCGAAACATAAGCAGTCTCCGGAGGCACCTCTTAGGTATCTGAGTATCCATTTGACTGCTTCTCAATGTTCTTTTCCAAGATTTTAAGGAACCTACTAACAACGACTGCATAAGCAATATGAGGTCTGGTACATATTATTGCATACATCAGGCTTCCGACTGTTGAGGAACAAGGAACTTTGGACGTGGTCTATTTTTATTCATTTGTTATATGACACATCTTGATCAATTTCAGATGACCAACAAGAGGAGTGAGAACGGGTTTAGCAATTTTCATGTTGAAGCGTTCCTGTACATGTTCAAGGTACTACTCATAAGATAGCCACAACTTATTTCTTATTCGCTCTCAAACAATCTTCATCCCTAGAATCTATATCTATATTATATAAAAAGGATGGTAGTCTGCATTGTGATTAAACCAAGTGGCGCATTGAGAAAAAGTCATTTCACTTTTAGGACAAAACCTAATGAGAATTGTAATAAACAATTTGAATTGATAATTGAAAGATAAATATTTTATTAAAACTAATATTATCGTTTAAAAGGTTAATACCATTTCAATCTAAAAATTTAAGAATCAAGTGAGGAGGTGTGAGAGGTTGACAATTGTGGGTCTAAGGAGAGGTCGAGGTAGGCCGAAGAAGTATTTGGGAGAAGTGATTAGATAAGACATGATACATCTTCAACTTACTAAGGACATGACCCAAGATAGGAGGATATGGAAGTCAAAGATTAAGGTAGAAGGTTAGTAAATAGTCGAGTTTGGGACACCTTATCTGTTCCGTATTTCCCATATCAGTATTATTATTATTATTCTCGTATTTTCTTAATCTTCAATATCTATTACTACTCGTTCCCCTTGCTTCGGTTTTCTTACCGCTTTGTTAATTTGATGTTGTTACAATTCTTGTCTTCAATATTTTCAGCCTGGCTTCTTCATTACTGTTTTTCTTGTTCAAACCTGCTGAGAAATAATTTTCTTGAACCGAGGATCAACCGGATACAGTATATCTACCTTCACAAGGTAAGGGAAAGATATGCGTACATATTACCTTTCCTGCCCTCCCCCCCAGACCCCACACTTTCACTGGGTAAGTTGTTGTTGTTCAGTGATGGTCAAAGTGCAACCCATCTTGCCAAAAATCCAGTGTTTCATGCCTATTGCATTGTTTTTTGGTGTGAAAGGCAATTGAATGGAGTGACCACAAATAGCCTCTACAATTGGTTCAAGAAGCCACCTTTTTCAGTAACAGTTGCAAAAGCTAGTTCAAGCTAATATTGTTGGGGTGTAAAACAGAATTGTAATAAGTCCTAGAACATGTGCCTACCACTTCCAACGATCTAAAGTTTTTGACAACTGAGAAATCCCTGACCGCTAATGGCACACGGTTCAAAACTCCATGGATAATGGCCTGCCCTTCTATCCTTCTCCACTTAAATATCAGGATTTTGTCTTAAGGTTCAAGCTTGTGGCGTGCGCCTAACCCACACATCACAAACCGCATTCTTACCACTAAACCAAATCCCTGGGCCCAAAGATCTAATTTTCTCTACTCCAACTTCTCATTTTCAAGTTATAAGCTAAAAGTAGTTAGTAATATCCTGAAGATAGCACTGAAACTAAAACCTCAGTTCACAAAAGACCGGAAAGATTATTAAATCAGTGTGTATATGGTTGGTAAACTGCAGGTTTTCAGCATCAGATCCATACCTATCCAGCACCACAAAGATAGAATTCACACCCTCCCAACTGTCATGAACAAAACACAATGGTTACCAGCAATACACAAGATGGCTCATTTCTTTTCTTCTTTTTTACCTTTTTGCAGGTAAAACTTCCGGAAACCCATTTTTCAAGATGCTTTTTGGGGAAAATGGAGAAACAAGGGAGATTTTATAACAGAAAAGCAGTAAGCACAAAATAACAAGAAGAGGCAATTTCGTAAGTATTTTTTGCTTCCTAACCAATCTGCTAATTGCTGAACTCTTCCAGGAAGTTTAAGCCTTTGCTCGGTGATCATCCAAACCAAGATCAAATCCTCTCTTCTCTAAGATTCTACGCCACCATTTGGGAAGACCAAACTTTATCGAGGAGGTCTTATAAATTAACTGAACAGAGGTAACATGAAAATCCACTTGTCGGTTAAATCTTAGATCCTCGAGAGTTTTGAGCACGAGATTACAAAACTCAATGTTTACGGATTTAAAGTTCTTATATTATTTGGGAGAAGAGTTCCTAGCATTCAAAACCATGCAAGAATGGATTATCTTTCCTTCCAACAGTATATCGAAAAGCTTAAAAATGTGAAGGGGCAAGAAAGTAAAGGCAAATCTAGCAAGTATTGACAATTAACAAGCACTAGACAATGGAAAAAAATATTTAAAAACAAAACGGATGCTGGTATATAGGTGTCTCATACCTATAGAACTGTAGAAGATTTTTTTTCCTTTTACCTACTTGCTTCAGGCCTGCCCCAAACTTGAAACAGTATCCAAGACCCATCACCCCTTGCAGGGTGGACCTCGAATGAACATGTCTTATACATAAAGTGATGGTTCATGTTGATGATCAAATGCTTAAGCATGAGTAAATTGGATGGCAGCCAACCCGCCAAACAGAAAAGAAATTATATGTGAAAGTGTATCTAGTACCAAGGACAAGAACAACGTACAGGTCTCTTAATCCCATAATGAAACTCCGGTAACACAAAGACAGACAACAACAAAACAGATAAGCAGTAACTCTCAAGTTGATAAAAGCAAGATACCTGAACATTGACATAATGCAAGCCCGCAATCAGTAAAGGAATGACTGGCCCTAAAATACCGCTAGGGAACTCAGTCAAGTTCTGGAACCAAAGAATGCCCCCCTACAATGAAATGAAATGGAAATCAGTACCATCGAGTGGAAAATAACCCAAAAGAATTCCGAAGCTTTACATAGTATTATAAATGCAAGAATTAGACTACTAACCAGAAATAATCTTGTAACAAAAAGTAAACTATATAGTTATGCTATTAAAGTCCTTCATAAAAGATCAAACATGCTCTGCAATCTACTATTCACAGTAAGGAAAAAAATGAAGGCAGTGGTTAGGAGCTTGTAGATAAGGAGGTGGACAAGAAGAAAATGGTTCTTCTAGAGGAATAAGGAGAAAATCAAGGGGATAACTGAGTGGACTTTTGTGGGAGTTCTCATGGGCTTGAAGGAGAAGAGTCCAATTTACAGAGTGTTGACAAAATTAGGTTAGTCGCAAGATATGAGGTAACAAGGGTTATAGGAGGGATTTCAATAAGATAAGGTTGTCAGAGGAGAGCGTGGAATGTGAGACATATTCTAAGGAAATCTTAAATTTTATAAACTATCACCAATTAGTTGCTCTACTCCTCCGGAGTAGGGGTAAGGTCTGCGTACACACTACCCTCCCCAGACCCCATTTGTGGGATCTCACTGGGTTGTTGTTGTTGTATCACCAATTAGCTGACTTCCCTCAGACAGGTAATAAATTTACAAGGTCCAAAGCTGAGGAGTCGAGACTAATCAACACTTGAGATTTCTTATCCCGACAGGGTTAATCCAAGTTCCACTTTTTCAACTAGCATAAAACCACCAACAACTACTACGCCTCAGTCCCAAACAAAATTGGGGTCGGCGATATGAATACTCACTTCTTTCTTTAAGCTCAACTCATATCATCATCATGCCAAATTAAAATAAGAGTGGTAATGAAATAAGTTATATATATATATATATATATATATATATATATATATATATATATAATAATAATAATTAAAAGATAGTAATATTTAAAGCTTATTCCTAAAAAGTAAGTATCACATATATGGATCTTTTTCCTACATTGTGTCCTATCCTTAGCTAAGTCTGCATTGATTCCAAAGAGTTGTACGTCTTTTGAGACAACTTTTTTTCGTGTGATTTTAGGCCTACCTTGATCCTTTTTAACACCTTCATTCACCACAATTTCACAGCAACATACTGGTGTATCTCTAGGATGACATAAGGCATGACCAAACCATCTCAAGAGACCTTCTTTCAATTAATCATAACACTAGATTGCATCACACGCAATTATAATGGAATACTAAAGTGTCTGACGCCTTTCAAATTTGAAATCATGGGGTTGAAAGCACACGGCTTGGGGATAATGAGGACTTGAAAGCTCTATCTTTCTATCTCACCCAGAAATTGAAGCTTCTAAAGATAATTGTGATTTCAAATGGGAGACTTCTAAAACATTTTTTGCAAATACGCTCTTGATCCACCCAAAAAAAAATCTTTTCGAATGTGCTTTCCTTTAGACACAAGAAGGTTTAGATGTCACGATATCAATCTCCCAAGACATTTCATTGAAAGAAGACAAATATCAGATTTGAAAAAGGCAGATGAGTTACTAGTCTCCATATGGAAAAGGCAGGATTGCTTGCAAAATTGGATTTGGACAAACATGACCACATCAACTGGGACTTTCTGAATTTCGTAATTACAAATAGGGTTCACAGAAAGGAGAAGACAATACATATAATTTCACATGTCTCTCATCAAATTCTCAATTCTTGTCAATAGAAATCCTACCAGCTTCTTCAGAAGCCAAAGGTGTTTAATAAGCGGACCCCTTGTCCCTTACGTTGTTCATACTTGTCAAAGAGGTGCTTACCAAGAGATGGATACAACTGCAATGGAAGCTTATTTGAATGGCTTCACAACTAACACAAGAACTCAAGAAAGCTTACAGGTTTTTAATTTCTATTCGTGGATGATGCGCTTGTATTATGTAAGATCGAGGAAGATAGAGCTCTACTCGCAGATGATACGCAGTGTATATGCTGTCGAGAAGAATCAGAAACCTCAAGTGTTCACTACTATGAGGTATCAAGAAGTGTCGAGCATAATAATCTGAAAAAATGTGAAAACATTGGTTAGTTGGCCAGGTCTTAAATTGTGAGGTTGCTTCCTTCCATGGTTTATCTGGGACTACTGTTGGATGCATCTCACAAGGATTGTACAGTATGTATCCAATGTGATAGAGTTGAAAAGAAGCTAGTAGGTATCAAAAGAAATACCAATCAAATGAAGGAAAGCGGACACAAATCAGTAGTCCCTTATCCAATATTCTGACTTGTTACATATCCTTAATGTCCACTCTTGTGATCGTCGCATAAAAGTTCAAAAGCTGCTGAACAATATTGTATTTGATGTGCACAGAGAGATGAAAAGTACCACACAATTTGAAACAATTATATCTCTAAGGCTGGAAGATTCGGGAATGCAAGATTGGAGGTTTGGTCCAGAGGACCAAGCTTTGTGGAAGATGGTCAGCTTTGATAAATATGCAGAAGGGGTGACAGGCAAACCAGAAACCAGTGCCATATGGAGTAATATTGTCATGCTAAAGCATGCAATGATAATAGAATCAGTTTCTGGAAGTAGGAATGTTTGTGGAATCCCCTTTATGTGAAGCTTGGACGAATACTTTTAATATCTAGCAACAAACAACAGTAATTTCCCAGATACGTGAAGAGAAAAGAGAAGAAATTTTATGGGTCCGGAGATTCAAGAGATATCCACAAAAGATCAGATGCACAGCAGTTTGTTAGATTCAAGCAACCAAAATGTCCTACAGAGAGAGAGAGAGAGAGAGAGAGAGAGAGATGGGAAGGATAGTGCGATAACATGTTCACACTGAACTTTCTGTAGCAGGCTACTAAAAAGGGAGAACAAGGATTTTTTCAGTTCTTTTCGTTATTTTGACCGTAGCATGGGGAGGTATCCTGATCGCGGAAAAATTGAGTGAAAAGACAATCCACATTGGCGCGTACTCTATTTGCACAAAGATGGGCAGAATGTTAACCAGTTGCAACTTCATTGCCCTATTTCAAATAAACTACAGAGATTTGTGCTGAATATGTTTGGAGTAAAATGGGTAATGCAAGGAGTTGTCAGAGGTGGTGAAGGAGAGCATGGAACATAATCCCTTTGGCGCTTATGTGGAACCGATGATCCCTTAGTCCAGATTAGTGGAACATTTTTGTTTTAAGTGCACTTCTGGAGCATAAATGATAACCCAGTCATACTGGATGCTCTTTGCAGAAATCATGTTTTTGTGCAAGCTTCTGCATCTTCTATATAGAGCTTGTATGGGGTTTCCCCCCCTTACATCAATATAGTTTAACTTCACTGGAAAAAGCTATCTCAAGTAATTTTAAAAGATCCTCATTGTGAGGCATAGCAGATCTCAAATCCAGATAAAAGAGAATGGTTGTGGTTGGTTGAAAACCAACATTAATAAATAATGATCTAGTTATGAGGAATACTCGTGATACTGAACTATCTGAATAAATTGGAATAAATATAGAGAATTCATAGCCATCTATAGAATTAGGGCATAGTTGGTTAATTGAATGTCCATAGGGGACAAAGAGGACTGTCCAAATGATAAAAATATATTTCATGTTAAAAATAAAGCTTTTAAAATATTGAAAACCATTTGGGATACCACTAAAAGAATAGAAAACCTCATTGGATGTGTGTAAATCCCATCTTTGTTTGGAGGAGGAGAAGGGAGGAAGCAATTATTAAGGTAAAACGAGCATCCATCCATTTCAATAAGTACACTAGTAGAATTCATGTTGCATACTCCTAGATGTAAGGGATAACATTTATGTTTGTATACTTATTATGAATATTACATATATTATGTGCCTCACTTTTTTTAGAGTTACTATGTTAGTATCAATGCTATGTTGTTGGATTGCATATTATCTGCAGAAACAAAAACGATTCATTTTTATGATGGAGAAACAACAAAACTTCTAACATCTTGAACTTATGTACTAGGTAGTTGGATAGCAGGCTTCACAAAAGCCATTCATACAAATGGAGCACTGGAATCAGAACTACTTGCTCTACTTGAAGGACTCACAACTGCTCAAGAATGGAATCTATTTCCCCTCGAAGTAGAAACAGACTGTATACAGGTAATCCAATGCATTAATGAAGGAAACTACATATTTAACGATATTCTAACTGTATGCAGATCGTTATTGCACCAGAAGAAGGACATGATCCTCAGGCACAACTTCAGGCAGGGGAATGAAGTAGCACACCAGATGGCAAAACAAAATGAGGCTCAACCAACTAAAAGAAAACTTTTTGTTCAACCGCCTCTTTTTGTGGAATCAACCTTGAAGAGGGACCAAGTGGAAGAAGTAGTTTTTGTTAAAAACCTAAGTAATGATGCTTGCAATAGTCTAGTAAGCTACGGTAATAAATGTGTCCTATGTGACACTAACTATGGGTGTAACATTTTGAACCCTATCTAGCTATAATATAAGTTTCCTGTTTCGCTCAAAAAAAAAACAACTTATGTACTAGGTGTATTAATGAGCCTTGCAATAGAATGATAATCAAAAAACAGACTAAACAATTAAATAAGTACAAGAAAGAATCATAATACCAAAAGAACAATAACCTACACAGGAATTGCATAAAACAAGAGTGCCCTTACACAATCAAAGCCTTCGTGATGATCCAGTGACATTCTTCTAATAGTTGTAATCCAAAGAAGAAAGCAGGGCATCTAGAAGTGAATAAGAATATAATCAAGATGACAAGATTACTCAACCACATCTTACTTTCATATAACAGAAAAAAAAAAAAAAAAAAAAAAAAAAAAAAAAACATGCATAGATTTTTCAATCAGACAAATATCATTCTATCATTCGTCATACCCTCTATGTGAATATAAATCTCCATTGGTGCATCTACTTTTTTCGGGTGAATTCTTCATCAAAAACTAAAAATAAAACAAATCCGGAATCCAGATTGAAGGTAACAGGCCAGGAAAATGAAATATAACTTATTGTAGTCTTAACTCCTACTCATACTAAATAAGCAAATAATGATTCCTACAAACCTCATTCTAAAAATAAAATTAAAAAAAAAAAAAAAGAATCTGCAGACCATGATTTCAAGAACATTAACTAACTGGACTGGGTCAAAGACCGAGAACTAAATGTCCTCAAGTAGTAACAACAACAATTAGTTTTGATAAGTAAAAGTATCTTCATTCCATAGGAATAGCACCAAGTAGATGCAGCTATACACAAATAAAAAACTCAGTCTTCTCTGTTTCAAACATCTAGCGAGTTGAGGAATTCAAGTAGAGAGTTTTTTTATTTTTCCCAAAAAGGAATTCAAGTAAAGAGTTGACATCATATGCATCTGTCATCTTAAACCAAAAGGCCAAAGAATATAAGCATTCCAAAGACCAGATATCAATTTCCCAATCACCTTTTTCAGCCTTACTGTTAATGTTTTTGCAATAATATTATATTTTCCTCCAACCAAACTAATTTGTTTGTAGTAGTTGAGTTCTTCTGCATCATTCCTTTTCGGAACAAGAGCAATGTGTGTTGCATAGAGGCTTTTTTGAAAGACTTCATATTGGTAGAAATAATTTACGTATCCATTACCATTTTTTATCACTGGAAAACATTTTTTTTTAGACTGGTACCAATATATTAAGAAAAAAGGCACTAAGGCAGTGCAAAACCATATGTACAGGGGGGAAGATCAAAACTGATCCACCAGACTTACAAAAAACCTAACATGTCAACCAGGGACTCAGTATTCTCTACATGCCTTTCTTTACACCAGAAATAAAACAAAAGAATACAATTCATCTTAACATTCTGAAGAGTATTGTATCTGTCTTCAAAAATTCTTGAGTTCCTCTCTGTCCACACTGTCCACCATACACAAGCAGGTATCACTCTCCACCATGTCTTCTGACTGACTACACCTCCAATGTTATTCCAGGACTTTAGAAGCTCCAGAGTAGTTGCAGGCATTGTCCATCTGAGGCCCACAATGTTAAGGAACAATTGCCACAATTGACTGGTGATAGAACAATGCAGGAACAGATGACTGTTGGTCTCTAGATCTGTGCCACATAACAAACATCTCGAGCATAACAGAAATCCCCTTCTTTGTAGGTTTTCTTGGGTTAAAACAAGCTTCTCTTGCTACCAGCCATGAGAAACAAACCACCTTAAAGGGAGCTTTTGCTTTCCATATGTTCTTCCATGGCCATCCCGCTGTATGCTGATCTGCATTTGTAAGCATGAAATAGGCAGATTTGACAGTGTATACCCCGTTCTTGCAGCAGTGCCATAATAAGGTGTCCTCATTTTCATTGAGCCCTTTGAACCCTTCCAAAACCTTAAAAAAATCAGCAATTCTCCCCATTTCCCAGTCATTCAGACCTCTTCTGAAAGTAATATTCCAACCATCCTGGCCCCAAGCTGCTTCCATTTTAATATGAGGCATATTTGCAATACTGAAAAATTCTGGAAACATCTCTTTGAGTGGACCATGCCCAAGCCAATTCTCATTCCAAAATAGTGTCTTCCTACCACCCTTGTGCTAGTGTTAACCAACACAGAGCTCCATAGTTGCCTGATAGATTTCCAAACACCTACCCCATAGGAACTGTTAACAGGGATAAGTGCACCACTGCTCAGTTTGACCATATTTCTCCCTTATAACCTTTCTCCACAAAGCATTAGTGTCTAAGTTGTACCTCCACATCCACTTCATAAGTAAACTTTGGTTGTGTGCCTTGAGGTTCCTGAGTCCCAAGGAGTCGTCAGCATACAGTAAATGTGTGATCCTCAAACTGCTGTCTTCCCTACTTGAGACTGAGAAGCCTCTTAGCCAAGCATTCCCCTGGGCAATCTGTATCATCTGACCCAAACCCTCCATAGTAAGAAACAGAAAAGGGGACAACGGGTCACTTTGTCTGAGACCTCTTTCTGATGGGAAAAAACCTTCTGGAGAACCATTAACAAGAATAGAGAACCTAACAGTTCTTATACAGAAAGAGATCCAATTAATCCACTTTGCACCAAAACCCATATCCTTTAGAACTTTCAGGAGAAAATTCCAGTTTACATGGTCATATGCTTTCTCAATATCTAGCTTGCATAGGATTCCTGGAGTTTGCCTTCTAATTCTAGAGTCCACACATTCATTTGCTATCAATGCAGCATCCATAATCTGCCAGCCTTTGATGAATGCCATTCGGTGACTATTAACCAACTTGTCCACCACTCTTTTCAGCCTCTCTGTCAATGTTTTAGAGATGATCTTATACACACTTCCAATTAGGCTAATAGGTCTAAAATCTCTCAGCTCCTTTGCACCATTCTTTTTAGGGATTAGTGCTATATAAGAGGCATTGAAACTCTTCTCAAAGTATTCACTGCAATGGAAATTCTTAATGGTCTTCATAAGATCCTCTTTGACTACCTTCCAACACTTATGAAAAAATCCCATAGTGAATCCATCTAGCCCAGGGGCTTTATCTGACGCACACAGTTTTAAGCTTTCCAATACTTCTTGTTCTTCAAAGTCCCTTTGCATCCACACCCTTTCTTCGTCTGTAATGCTTGTCCCACCCATTATGTTGAAATCAGGCCTCCATGGTTCTGTTTCAGTATACAGATTCTTATAGTAGGCTACAATCTCCCTTTTAGTATCATCTGGATTAGTAATGACTTCCCCTCGAACTTCTAATTTATCTATGTAGTTGAATCTTCTGCGAGAGTTTGCCATTTACTGAAAAAACTTGGTGTTTTTATCTCCCTCTTTAAGCCACAATGTTCTGGACTTCTGCCTCCATGATATATCTTCATGTTTTGCTACCTCCTCGAACTCCATGTGAAGACTTGCCTTTTGCAACAATTCATTCTCATTAAGAGGTCTCTGTTCCTGTAAGTTATCTAAAGCTGAGATCTGCTACAGAATAGCACTCTTCTTTACCTTCAAACTCCCATAATTGTTGGCATTCCATTGCTTCAGCTTTGTTTTCAAACCTTTAAGTTTGTAGGCCAAAACATAATCTGGTCTTCCTTCTATCTGAAAAGAGTTCCACAAGCATTCCACCCTCTCCGTAAAGCCTTCAACCTCCAGCCATCAGTTCTCAAACTTGAAATAAGACTTTGAGAATTCCCAATCCCCACATTTCAGAGAAATTGGGCAGTGATCGGAGCTAATTCTAGGAAGTAAGGACTGCTTAATGTTACTAAACACCTCATCCCACTCCACAGAGAATAGAAATCTATCTATTCTAGAAGAGCATTCTTGATTTTCCTTTTTTCGCCCAGGTAAACATTCCCCCTAACAATGGAGGATCTACAAGTTCCAGCTCCCCGATGATCTCTGAAAAATCCCTCATTGCCCTGGTAAACCCACCATTATGTCTTCTCTCATTTGCAAATCTAGTTGTATTGAAATCCCCACAAACCACCCAAGCCCCCTCGCATAACCCTCTAGAAGCTGCCATTTCCCACCATAATTCCTCCCTTTCCCTTCTAGTTTGTGGACCATACACCCCAGTTAGACACCAATCAAAATCATTATGCAGGGAGTTAATTCTGCAAGTGATGCTGTACAAACTAGAATTAACTAACTCCCCCCTCCATACTCTATTATCCCACATAATTAAGATACCACCACTCCTCCCATTAGCCTCTAATCCCACATAATCTGCCTATCTATTACTACACAAATGTTTGACTATTGTACCACATTCCCCTTCCAACTTTGTTTCCTGAAAGCAATATATGTCTGCTCTCCATTCTTGAATCAAAGATTTGATAACCCTTTTTTATCAACCCCATTTAACCCCCTCACATTCCACGAGATAATGTATACCTTCATTGATCACTATTACTTGTGTTTCTCCCCCTGTTCCTCGATCCTCCTCCTTTGAATTTGATCCCAAACGATGTCAAATTCTTGACCTCCATCCTTTTTGTTTTGGTGTAGGTGTGGTAGAACTGCTGGGAACACAAAGTCTCTCCTGTCTTTTCCTGTCCAACTTCATGAAGAGCGAGAAAGCCTCCCATTCGCAACCCTAGAAATCCACTCCGAACTGTTTTCTTAATTTCACCACGTTTCTGTGAACCCACAAAGAAGCTTCAAGTTCTGCTAACTGAATCTGCATCTCCAGAGGAAGAGGGTCCTTCATAGGCCATTGGTGAGGTTGTTCTGCTGTAACCAATTGTAACTCATTCACCCCATAGCTACTGTTAGCCAAATCCCCAACTTTCTGATTTATACCTTCATCTGTATCTATGTTGCTCACGTCTGAAAAGGCAAGGTATAGATCTCCTGAGCTTCTCTGTGATACTTCTTCTCTGTCTTCCTCTACTTCCAACATCAACAATTTTGTTTGATAGATGTTTGCTTCGATCTCATCTAACAAAGGGTCGTATTTAACTTGTGTGTTGGGCCTAATTTCAGACAGAGTTTCCAAATAGAAAATCAGGCCCAACAGCTGCAAACTCCTTTTGTTCATTTATATTCAAACTCTGGTCCAGGCCCATAACTTGGCCCAAAGCCCTTACCCTTTAAAACCCTCAGCTAGGGCCTCTGCCTCCATGACGTGCTCCACACAGGAAGTCTCACCCATGTGCCCCACACACTCCTTATTTTTTAAAATTTGCACAGTCATCTCCTTACTCACGTGCCCAGCCATTCTATATCCTATAGACTCAGACAAGCGATTGGACTCCTGTAATTTCACGTCTCTAGGATCCCCGACGTACTTTCTACCAACTCTCACCGTCGGCGGCCATTCACACCAAATCGGTAAGGTAAAAATCAGACCATTTTTCTCCGGATCAATGAAGTGAGGAATATTTTCTGGTGGACCTCTAACTTTGATTCTTGCCCACTTCAGGTGATTTTTCAATGTTGTCTCCTCTTCTGTTTCAATCCACCCGCCACACTTATTGCCTATTTCCACCATTACCTCCTTTGTCCAAAGGTGAAGAGGAAGCCCAATAATTCTGACCCACAACCAGTCGCTTACTTCATCGGACTTCGTGCATGCAAGTTCCGGCAACCACCATTTCAGTTTCAGAGGTTCGTGCCTCCACTTCCAGTCACCTAGCATCACCTGCACAGCCATCTTCCTGTTGGAAAATTCGAACAGACATTGCCTCTCGTTCAGATCATAAATAAGCACTCCATATACTGACTTCCATTTATCAGCCACCCATCTGTGCAAATCTGCTCGAGTAGGACCCTCTGACTTCCCTGAGAAACTGCCTATTAAGCACCTGCTTAACAGATCATTTTCTGTGTTGTCCTCGACTTCGGAGAAGCTGATACAGTCACTGTGGTGCTCAATCCTGTGACCACCTTCCTTCAAAGACCATTTGCTTTTGGCTAGAGCATCACCATAAGAGATTTTCACAATGGGAGGCAGCTTCTCAACTTCATTCACAACTCCTTTGTCTGTAAACTTTGAGATTTTTTTAGCTATATCTCCCCACCCCCTGTTAGGAGCCAGTTCAGGAACAATAATAACTGATCTCCTCTCCCCTTGTACTGCCACAATACTGATGAATCTGCCATAACTGTTGTACTTCTGAGAACAAAAGTAGTTGTGTAAATGGTCTTTAAGTCTCCAGTTGTTATACTTATTTCCCCTGGTTCCTGTTGCCAAATGTAATAAATGGCAAATCCACAGCAGGGCCTTCTTGCTAACTGTAATTCTGTGCATTGAATTCCCTTTGCTTTCCACCCAATCATACCACATTTCAGACCCGGAAAAGTATTCTGTTATATCGAAAGATTTGCCTCCCGCATTAAAATAAATAGTATTGTCCATGTTATGTTGATCTCGAACCATGTTTTTGGTCAATCAGCAAGATTGAAGAAAAACTTAGTCCCTCCGATGAGCGATCCTGCCTGAAACTGTTGGAAAATGACCTTAGTAACTTACCTCGTAACCCATGCCTGAGAGCATTATTTTGATTAAACTTCTTGGTTGATTACCCTTAATGAGATGACTTCACTGGAAAACTTTTATGCTTCCATTGTATAATCATCAGGTCACGAGGCTAGTTTCCATAGTATGCTTCCATTGTATAATCATCAGGTCACGAGGCTAGTTTCCATAGTATGCTTCCATTGTATAATGATCAGGTCACGAGGCTAGTTTCCATAGTATGTTTAAGTGCTTCCTCAATCTCTTCCACTGTGAATGGTCTTTGCAGCCACTCTCTTTCACTTGTTGTAATGGTGGGCATGTCTATACCCCCAAAAGAAGGTCTCCAAGTTTCCTCTTCCTGAAGCGGGCTGTATGCTATCCAACTATCATGTTGTTAACTTCTGTTGGATCCCATACTGTAGTGTTATCAACCTTCAACTTTTCCACACAATTATATCTCCCGTAAGTATTTGTCATTTTGTGAAGAGAAAAAAAAACTGTATTCTTGTCTCCGTGCTGAAGCCATAAACACCGGTACTTTTGTCTCCAGGATATCTCCCTCAGCTTTTCGCAATTTCCTGAGTTCTCCTTCCCTTCTTAATATTTTTCTACAGCTTCTTCCTCACTTGATACCATAACTTCTCTTCCTGCCTGCTTCCAGCCTTTGTAAATTTTCTTGACACTTAACAGCTGTTTCTTTTTCTTACCTTCTCTAAATCACCATAAATGTTCTCATTCCACTCCCTTAAATCCTTTTTCACAAACTTCTATGACCAGGGGTACTCCCAATAGCCTGTAATAGCACCTAGATAGCAACAATTACTAGTCTATGTGTTTGTGTCTCAATCTCAAGCTAGTCAGGATCAACTATATGAATTGTCACAACCATGTGGTTCCATTTAGACCTGCATTAATCTAATATTTAAAAATTCATACAAACTTCTAACAAGACCAAAAGACTCAAGCGCTTTTGGGAACCAAGAGGGGAATAAGGCTGTACAAACACTAACACAAACATAATGTCCACGTAACATCACTATAAATCAAATGAAGTCATTCTAGAAGTTAATCCTGTAAAAAGATCCTTTTTAGAAGACTAACTAAAGAACAATATCTTCAAAATCCCCAAAACAGCTATTCTTACTTTTTTTGTTTACATATATCGACCACTCAAATGAGATAACCACAATCCAAGATTCCAGTCAATTTTTGTTTGTTTTGGCTCACTACCACCTAATATGCAGATTGTTTCATTTTGCAGAACAAGAACAAGGTCATAATTCGCTACCTAACCTAAAAGACATTTCTCTAGGGGAAGGTCTTATAGATCACAAGTAAAATACTTAACTTGATAAACAAATAACAGCATCTTATGTTGGGAAGAGCTTGAAGGCCTAACATAGTAAGACTACTAGAAATATCTTTGGAATCACTGAAGTTAACTTAGATTTAAAGACAACTTTTATAAATCACATAAAGTGTAATGATTAGAATATCTCATCACAAATTGGAATAGTCAATCTCGGATTCACTCAGATAGTACTGAATTGTCGTAAGTTTTGGTTTGTTGCACACTAGGCTCCCAAATAAAGGTCACAATTTCCTCACTGTATTTTAATGTACAATCAAAAATAGTTATCCACGAATTTTGTAAAAGGTCTTCTAAAGCAAATTAACTTGATATAATAAAATAGAAAGGATTATCACCTGAACTGTCAGAGAGGCGAAGTACCAAAAAAATGAAGGACATCCTGCTTCTCGTTTCTGCTTGAAAAAGATTTTAAGTTGGTCTCTTAAACTCCTTCCTGACATAGGCGGAGGGAATGGAGGAGGCACTTAAAAATACATAAGAAAGATCAGTTGAAAAATAATAGCTTCTGTCGGGCATTCATCTCTATTAAGAGGTAAATACTATGACCATTTTCTCAAACAACTCACTAGGCTAGTTTTTTTGTACTCAGGAGCTATTCCAAACTTTTTTGTAATTTCTGCATCTTCTTAATGCCATCAATATAACACCTTACTTCATTAAAAAAAACAACTCACTAGGCTAGCCTCTTTAACTCTTTTCTTTTTCATCAGTTTTGTGGAGGCTGGACGTGTCATTATGAGATGGATTCTTGAGGCAACAAAGAAAATAGCAACAGCATCAAAGTTATCATGGTTGTTATGTTTTTTCTTTTTAAAATTAGCAGTGTGTGGGCTAGCTTGAGAGCACCTCAACTAATCTACAGGGCAACTTGTCCAGTGCATAACCATAGGTTTCCCAAGATACATCCATCAAGGCTGAAGCAGATGGGCTCAAACCAAGCGATATAGCTGGTGTTGGAACCTGAAATGTCCAGGTTGTAAGTCCCATGCTTCAACCATCAGGCCATCCCCTTGGGGACCCTACATAGCTTTCTTTTTGAACAAGTGCACCTCAAGAAACATGAAATGACAAAATGCAGGTATACGACTCTACTCTAGGATGAATACATACTGAAGCACTTGGAGGGAAAGAAGTAGTAGAACTACAGAACACATTAAATTTAAGATTTCTATTGTTTTGTGAATCTTGACAGAGATGATAAGGAACTGAACTGTTAAAAAATAAGAGAATCTTATTTGTCATCTTCTAGTGGCAAAATCACTGAGCATGCAAATTAACTTGTCATCTTCTAGCAGCAAAATCACTCAGCATCTTACCAAGTGAATCCAAATCTATGAGCATCTTCTTTGGTGTTTGGGCAATATTTGGTTGAAGTTGAAAAAAAAGAGTACTATTTGAGGTTGAAGTTGAAAAGGAGTATTTGGAAGTTGAAGTTGTGTCTGACATAAATTTCACTTGGGAAAAAATTTAAGTTTTGTGATTAAAAATCATTATTTCACTTGAAATACTCCTCAAACCAGTTTTCCAACTTCAAATTCTCTATTTGAAGTTGAAGCTGAACTAATGGATCAAATGGTAAAGCAAATATTGATTTACAAATTATATTTCAAGGTGAAGTTGAAATAATGAAATATTTTTTATCCGAAATTCCAATCAAACGGAAAATTCCACCCATTCATTCACTCCATCCTACTTTTTGAGTTCCATAGTTAGCATCAGCTAAAGGAAAACGAACGGTATTGAGAACCAAGCCTCACATTTAGGAAATAACTCTCCAATCCTCATCAACTTGTGGAGTTGCAATATTACAAACGGGAACAATATCAGCCTCATAGCCACTGTTGAAGAAGCTATTATGATCCACCTGCAAACCAAGTACATACACCATTATTTTACCGTCAAGGGCCATATACTATCATTGGATAAAAATTACAAACAACTACAAAATTAAGAGATTATCGACTATTCCATGTGCGTTTGGACGGAATTTTGTCAACAACTCCCTGTCTTGGTTGAGGAACAACGCAGGCCTTGTGGGCCATCTAGCAAAATGGAGTGGGTCTAAACCAGTGAAGTACAGAATTAAGCTGCTTATGCCAATTTTTAAAACACAACAACGACTTGATAATTACGACCAACAGCATAGAACCTTTTGTACAAACCTGGTAAATCCTAAGGCACAAAGTTCACCTTGAATTACTGCTAACAGCATATACCTCCAGCAAAAACCTGGTAAAACCTAAGGCATAAAGTTCACAAAGAAAATATGCATGGTCCCCGAAGTATCCAATGATTAAATTTTGAACAAACCAGTGCCTCCCACCCAAAAGTAGACACTAAAGCATTTGGCTAGATAGAGGATAGTATGACATAAGTAGGCATCCATTGGAATTCATTATTATGAGAGAACAACAGCATGCAACTACTTGTACTAGTATTGAAAGCCTAATCCTGGCTCTTAAGGACAAAAATTTCCAATAACATGACAACAAGTTACACATTAAATCATCTTCAACGGTTGTAAGCTGAGCACAAGCAAAAAGAAATGTTTAGTGCCACAATTTACTCTTGACATGCACCTATCTCTACTACCACCGAAAGCCTAATGCAGGCCCTTACATTTTCCTTTCCAAATCATGCAGTCCCTTATCATAGACAAACTTCCAGCAATATGACACATTTTGCACCATATATCACAATTTACAAGATACAATTATCTTCTATCAGCGCTTTAATGCATAAAGAAAAGCATTTTCTGCATTGTTTGCTTAACTTCTGTATATGCATTTTACACTGTACATAAGAGCTGTTTTCACCTTATTTTTTGCTTAACTTCTGTTTTCGCCTTACTGTATCACTGTACATAAACTACAAATTTTCAAACTATAAAGCTTAGAATTTCTGAAATTCAAATAAACAAATCTAAAGGTGCTCAAAAATAATTTTACCAAGGGAAGCCAGTGAGGTCATGATAACCATCCAGCAATGAAATCAATGCACGTACTGGGAGAATTGAATCCTCAACACTTCCACTAACATTTTCTCCGATCAATGACAACTCCGTGTTCTCATACTGAGTCATCACCGAGTCACCGATATCACCAACTCGCCAGCCGCGAGTGGAGAACGAACGGCAGAAGGAAACACAGCGCGGTCCAGAAAGTTGCGGCTGCGACGGTAATAACGAGCTGAGAAAGTGGAGGTGCCGGCGGTGGCCATGGTTGTGGCGGCGATAGTGATTGGAAGGGTTTGAGGTTTTAGTATAAGAGTCTGAAGAAGTGACAGTGTGGAGAAAGGAGATTTCCGGTAAATTACGAGAGCAACGACGGAGCTTTGATAGGGAGAATTGGACTGACATGACGGAGAGGTGGGTGGCGGCCGACGGCGCGGCAGAGAACCGACGAGATGGCAATTTAGTAAATAAATTCAACTAAAATACATTTTTGGTAGTTTATTAAGATTAGAAGTTCTGGTCGTCCTAATAAATGGTAAAAACTTACCATATTTTGGGTGTTTTAAAGCGTATCAACTTGCATGATTAAGTAATTTAAAAAAATAAAAAATTTATATGTATATATATATACTATATATTATATTAAAAGCACGAAATGTGGTTTGTTTTTTTACTCTTTAAAATATAATGTTCATATTGGACAACATAGTAACTTGAGTATTTCTTTAATATTTAAGAATAGTCATTTAATTAATTTTTCTATAATTTAGGTATAGTTGTTTAATTATTCTCTTGTTATTAACCATCTAGGAAAGGTAATAAAATTTTGCCTAAATTTTCGCCTCTTCTATCAACACCCTACATTGGAGTTTATTTTGTATTTAATACCTATTAGATTTAGGAGACTATTTTGTAGTAAAATTGTTTTTCCTAATTCTCACATACGTTGTTTTTTTGTTTTTTTATTTTTTTTGCTTTTTTGTTAGGAGTCTTAATTAGTTGATACAACTGAAGGACTAATTTCCCATAAAAAAGATTTGGTGAAAAACAAGTTGTTTTGACTTTTTTATGTTAGGAGTCTTAATTATTTGTAATTTTTTTTTTTGTCTGTTTTAACTATACACAAATTTACTTTATGTAATTAAAGTATTTCTTGTTTCGAATTACATATCCAAATAATTCTATAAAATAAGTTACAATTTTATAAGATAAATCACAAATAAGGCATCTGAAAACCTTTTTGGTATAAGATATCTTTATTTATTGAACTAGCTAAAATGGGAACAACATTTAGTATGTTAAAATAATTTCTTTAAATTTTATTTTAAATTTTACATAACTCAAATAAATATTCTAATAATATTTACACAACTTTTAAAAAATTATTGTATTTATTGATACAGGTACACGCGCAAAGCGCGTACCCTTAAGGCTAGTATACATATATACATATATACTAGTCTTAGTGTACCTGTGTTGCACGTATATATAGCGTCAATCAATTAAAACTTGTATACAAGAACAATTGATTATGTAAATTAGCGAATGTCATTAAAATAGCAATTATTTAATGATAAAAAATGTGATACATAAATGTAGTAATTAGATTTTTTTGAACTTACAAAAATAAATAATTCAGTTGTATTAATTATAGCTATTTTATTGTATGAGATAACAATATGTTAGTACTATTGAATCTACTCTAATTTCTCTTTCATAGACGATATTGTTGATCCTAAAAAGTCAAATCATTTAAAACAAAAACAATGACTCTCTATTATTTAATCTTTGATGCATTTACTTTACAATAATAATAACAACTTACTAAGTAAAATATTTAATCAAAAAAACTATGAAAAACGTTTCGTAAGCTAATCAACGTAGTTAATTGTAACAATCGATTCAAAGTTGTAAATGGAACAAAAGATTCAAAAGAGTAAATCTATCGAAAATAAAAAATCCAAATGAAGAACATAATAACTTCAATTAGCTATATACAATCAAATTTGTGGACATGTAGCCATATAATGCAAATACTAATAGTATAAAATTCAAGAAGAAAATATTCATAGAAAACATAAATCAAAACAATACATAAATTTAGTTAATTTCAAACATTAGTTTGAATATCATAATTTAGAAACATAAGAAAGATCAAACTTTTTTTAGAATTGTCGAACGCAGTATGCACGCTTAACATAGACAATGTAAAAGCAAACCCGAAAGACAAAGCTGCACTCTAACATAACTTGTCATAATCATTGGTTTTGAGCCTACAAATAATGATCCGGGAATAGATATAATTTATAGTCTGAATGCAGTAAAGAAAGGACAAAGTTTATCCAATAGATCATTAAAATTTTAATTGATTTCTAACTCTTCTATTAGGCAAAGTATACAATATTCCGTATTATAATTTTATTTAGCATGAATTTACGAATGTGAGATTTAACTAGAAGAGAGCGGTAGAGAGTCCTTTCCATTAAGGAAGAGGAGAAATTTCAATTATCTTTATGAATAATACCTCTTGTACAATCTCGATTCTTGGCCCAAATTCAATTTTCTTCCCATAAGACCTATTTTATAAGTTGTAAAATTTAAGCTTGAATCTTTTGAGAAAAATTTATGCTTGGATATTAACTTACTTTCTGTACAAAAATCTCAAAAGTTTAATGGAGAAAGATAAAGACCATAAATTTGAAGGAATAAGAAAAATCCTAAAAGGAAGGGTATGCCTCTAGGATTCAATCACAATTCTTTTGTATCTCGCAAATAACCAAAAAAAAAAAAAGAATCATGAACAAAAGACGTAAGTAATTACAGTCCTTAATATTAGGAATTATACATAAACACATACTCCTAAACTTAAAAGGAGGTACAAGTGCTTGAGAATTTTACCCAAAAAAATTAAAAAATTCCTAAACCTAAAAGGAGGTCAAAGTGCACAAAAAGTTTACCTAAAATATTTACAAAGTATTAATAATTTTTTTTACCTAACATAATTACAAAGAATTAATCTTTTTCTTATAAAGAATTAGTTGGTTAACTTTTTAAAAATATATTCCTAAACCTACATGAAATCCTCAATTTTTAATAACGTATACAAAAGGAAAAAAAACTCTTAAACCTAAAAGATACTAAAATTACTCACTTTTACCTGGATTACTTAATTTTTTAAAAAGAATTAATTGTTGAAATGTGACAAACAAAAGTACCCCCAAGACGTAAAAGTGCTTCAAAGTTTATGTAAACGATTGTTTTGGAACACTTTACAAAAGATTTTGATCTTTCTTTTACAAGTTTATTATGTTACATAGTTTAAATAAGGAAAAATATTATACACAAAATCTAGTTAATCTCGAATTTCTAAATATTTAGAAAAATATTAAATGACTATTACTAATATTAGAAAAATAATTTAATAACTAATTTGTCTAATGCGAAATCTATTTTTAAAGGGTAATAAAGGCGAATGATATTTCGCTAAGGGATTTCGTACTTTTAATATAGTATAGAATATATTTTTTTTTTTTTTTGAGTAAACTGAGATCCCACTAACATATCCAAGCTCCTCACATTACAGACATTTTGGTCCATTTGTTTCCTTTCTCTTTTGTGGAGTTTTTGTGAATTTATTTCTTTAGTGTTGAAATTAAGGTCAACTTGGTTGGTAAAGTTTCAATTCTTTATGTTCTTGTGATTGATTTGATCCTTTTTCTGTTTCATTCTCAGATCCGAAAATCACTCTTTTTGTAGCTTCGAATTAACCCATTTTGAAATTTTTGTTTCTTTTCGATTTTTTTGCATTTACTGCGTGATTTGAATTGAAATCATTGGCTTTTGCATCAAAATTCTAACTTTTTGAATCATCCTTTCCGTACATTTTCTCTAGTTGAAAAAATAAAATTGTACAGTTTTTGGATTGTTATTCTCTTTTTAAATTACATTAATTTCACCTACATGACTATAGAAATATACCAGACGGATTCAACATTTTCGGACTCTCTCCCTCTACCTGTTATCTCTGCCTTCAATCATCGCCAGTGGGGCCCCACTAGTGGTAGCAGTGATAACCCCTCCCTCATTTGTTTGGCTTCGTGGTGTTTTGTGTGTATTTCAGGTTAGGGCATGTGGCTATTAGAGGCGAATGAGACGTGCGTGTGCAAATATTAAAGAACAACCCGGACGAGTGTCAGTAAAGGGCGGTGGGAGTTGGACGTGAATGTGCTAGGTGGTCGCAACATCGCCGTATAAACCAAGACGATTCCCAGGCTCTACTCGCATGAGCTGGTACCTCCCGTTTTCCTGTTTCCCTTAGTTGTGTTAGTTAAATTACTGTCATCTTAGTTCGTATTAGTTGATTCACTGTATTAGTGTGCCTGTAGTTGCAACTTGTCTTCTTTTAGTTTGGTATGTTGCCTTATGTGTGTTAGTGATTCCACTTAGTCTGTCGTAGGTATAGTGGCTGTGGTCTGGGATGGTTGAGTGAGGTCATGTTCTCGGGGGGAATGGGGGGTGGTGCGGGAGGTAGGGTNGACGCGAACGAGTATAAACTGTGGTACTCAGGAGTCCAAAAAGGTAAGAATGGAGTAGGTATCTTGGTAGATAGGGAACTTAGAGAGTCTGGGGTTGAGGTTAGACGAGTGAATGATAGATTGATGATTATTAAGTTGGTGGTTAGAGAGTGCACCTTAAACGTCGTTAGTGCCTATGCACTGCATGCGGCCCTAGATAAGGAGGCTAATCAGCGATTCTGGGAGGGATTAGATGAGATTGTGCGCCAGGTTTCGCCTGCTAAGAAGCTATTCATCGGAAGGGATTTCAATGGTCATATTAGATCGACCACAGGTGGTTATAGCGAGGTGCATGGAGGCTTCGATTTTAGAGAGAGGAATGGAGGAGGTACCTCGCTGTTGGACTTCGCTAAGGCTTTTGGGTTGGTGATTGCGAACTCTAGCTTTCCAAAGAGGGAGGAGCATTTGGTTACTTTTTAAAATGCGGTGGCGAAGACTCAGATTGACTATCTCCTCCTTAGGAGGTGTGATAGATGGTTGTACAAGGATTGCAAGGTGATTCCGTATGAGATACACGCGGCGCAGCATAGGCTCTTAGTAATGGACGTTGGTATTATGTTAAAGAGAAGGAAAAGGTCAGCTCGAGAAAGACCGAGAATCAGGTGGAGAACCTTAACTAAGGATAAAGCCCAAGAGTTGGAAGGGCGGTTGTCGGCTATGGGAGCTTGGAGGAGCAGTGGTGATGCGAGCACTATATGGTCAGCAATAATAGACTGTATAAGAGAGGCTGTGAGAGAGGTGTTAGGGGCCTCAACGGGCATTTCTGGTGGGCACAAAGGAGACTGGTGGTGGAATGAAGTGGTCCAAGGTAAAGTGGGAGCGAAAAAGGCGGCGTACCTCAAGTTAATGGGGAACATAGGTGAGGAGGAGAGGCGAGCGTGCATGGAAAGGTATAAGGTAGCCAGGAAGGAAGCTAAGCTAATGGTCACAGAGGCTAAGA